CTGAAGGCGAAAGGGGGTCAAACACCGTATTAGTATGGTGTTCCTAATAATCCTTTAGGTGAGTGTATATCAGGCTTATGAAGCAATGTAGATGGGCAGAAAATGTAAATGTAGGATGTAAAGCCTTATTTAGACAGGATTAGTTTTACATGGGGATGTAATGTAATCATACCAGTTTCCAATGTGGTCCATCATTTTAATGCAGTCTCAACCTGCCATGTCTGTAATTATTACAAGCCTACAGCATAAACATTCAGGAGCGAATTACCTTCTGTATTTCAGCAAACACGGTAATACTAGGCCAGTCTGAATTGTCATCTTGCCAACTGGCCATATCTGTAAAGGGGAAACCAGATATTTAACAACCTACACCTGTAGCCTTATCTGCAGCACGGTTTGTAGTAGGTGTAGAGCAGTACCACACTACTGAGTACCGGTTTGTAAACTGCTGTATGCTGGAAGGAAAAAAAGTTTGCTTTTTATTGCATTTACTATTTTAATGGGATAGCTCACCCAGAACTGGAAATTCTGTTATTTGCTTTATAGACATGCTAAATTACGTTTTTCATCCCATTCAAATAGGTCAGTCAAATCACTTTACAAATGTCATACCGAACCAGTACAACTAATCTCAGCCGAATAGGGCCTAAAATGTACTAAACTTATTCAGCTACTGTTCCTTCACAAGCAGGTTATTTACTAAACCATATTAAGGTCACATTTCCTGTATTCCGAGGTCATGGCTTCTGAGAGATGGTCTCTTGATCGGATATGTCACCCCATACAACTGCCCCCTGGTTACAGCATGGAGCATGATGTTGGGTAACCCAACACCATGACTGACAGTGTGGCCTCCTTGTGCCCATGGAAACGGCCCACCAAAGATAAACGCTCCATTGTTTCACTTCCATCGCATCTCTAACCAAACGTCAAATTGCGGGCTTTAATTTTGTAACCCCTCAACTAAATGATTAACTCCTCTTGAAAGGGCTGGTGTGTGTGCAGGTTTTTGGGGTAACCTTTAGGTCAGCTATTCCAACGCAGGTGTGTGGACTCTTCAGCCAATTCACACTATTTATGGATAAGATTGCCCACCTCTGATATAAGGGCAGGTTCTAGAGGGCTACCAGCGACCATGTGACCGCCTGGATAACCACAAATCGTGGAACATGGGCTCTCGTACACACAATGCTGCTTGAGCCACAGAATGCACACTACGCCGACCAAAACTCTTCTTCTGTTGCCCCAATACCCCCTTAAGAGACATATTATTGTAGTATAAATTGTCTAAAGTGACATGCAACTGAGGAAAGCTTAGATTCAGCCAGTGTCCAGCAACCCTGGAGCAGTTATGCTGCGTCCCATTTACATCAGAGGTCGGAGCTGGGAATGACGTCAGACCTGAGTTAACCAAGAACCATGAAGTTAGAAAACCATTTAGCAATACCAGTTCTAGTCAGGTTCATTATTAGCAAAGCCAGTTGATAACACATTACCCAGTATTTGCACATACAAATATCGTAACACATAGATAAAAGCTGGATGGTACTGTGTGTACGTTTGATTTAATGAGTCAAAAATAAGACATAAGTGTTAATAAACAGTATATAGCTACAGCTTTCACTTCTGTTGATGAAGGGTGCAGCCATCTTGAATTCTGAGGTAGGTGTTGTAGAGGATCCTCCGACTTCCTCAGTCGACCTCTGACTTCAGGGGCCGTTACAGTTGAAATTCTGACTTCCCAGTTCAAATGGAATGCACCATTATGGTTAAAGGCCTTACTCTTGATGGAGATGTACTCAGCCTGGCCGGCACCATCCTCCAGATGCCTCACACTCTATCCGGCGGCGATTTCCTCAGTTTTTATAGTTCAGCAAGTGTTCAATAAGGTTTTATATTCCACTATTTTAGTACACCGCACACGAAGCACAAATTCGGCCTTTTTGCGTCCCGAAATGTCTTGCTGTCTGTCACATGCCATCTGTCTTGAGCAGAAATCTATACCTGAAAATACTTCCATGGCTGTTAACTATGACGCCGACAACTGAAGCTCACCCCTGATAACCCAACGTTAATAATTAATTAGACCATATCAGGTCAATTCAACTCCTGATGAGCAGCGCACCTAGAAATATTGATGTTTACCCTAATTCCGAAGTCTCTGTGCGTCTGTGAATTCCGCTGTTTCCAGGCAACCAGCGGCGAAACCTCCCACACAGCAGCGTGACACAGGGGCTTGACTGAGCATCTCTAAGGCTTCAGTTTGTTAAATATGAAAAGTTTCCTTATTATTACTGGCTGCTATCAGAACTGCTTTGTCTTCCTCTGACTATAAATCTAAACAGTGGGTTATCAGTTTAAGTTGATGACCAGGATAGAACTTCTATAAATAAATGGTAACGCTTTTCATTAAGTGCACCTTCATAATGCATTCATAGGATATTCATAAGCAGCATGCAAGTACGCTTTAACATCCTAACATCCCTTAACAGCTTTAATATACATTAATAACAATATGAATACTTGTTGAATTAATACATTATGAAGGTGTACTGAATGTTTTATGAATGCAATATAACGGCGTTATGAAGGTCCAGTTAATGTAAAGCATTACCAAATAAAGTCTAACAGAAAAGTGTCAACTACATTTACCAGGAGGCATAAGAATCTAACAACTGTGTGTTTTATCTTTTAAAGCTGTACTATATATATATAATGAAATACAATATTCCTTTAATTTTTAATCCAAGGATTTCCAAGAGGAGTGAATAAAAATTTCCAGGTCTACTGACACTTATGCTTGCTAAAGTAAATTCTTGCTGCCTACATCCTGTCTTAACTTGTATTTCATGCAAGGATTTACTTTTCATCGTCGTGCCTTTTTTGTCAGCATTGGATTCTGCTGCTTTAAATGCAATGGTGTCATGACAGGTAACACCTGTCAGGATCCTCCCAGCTGGAGGCCGAAGCAATGCTCATGTTAATTGTGTGTCCCTAGATATTAAATTAAGGCTGTTAAAACAGTCTTCACCAAGGACGTCCTCATTCATTCTTTCATTGGGCTGCTCATTGAAGTCAACTAGATGGCGTTTACCTCACCCAGTGACCTAACTCCAGTCCCCGATGTGTCACCTGCTGCGGTGACATCGGTCACCTGGGTTGAATTGTGACTCCCAGCAAATGGCTAGGGATGCAAGCCATACCTTCGTTTGTCTTCTGGGGATGAAGTTCCCAGCTAAAGCCGGCAGATGAGGCCTGCTGCTGGCAGACCTCACAGATAATATCAGTATATAGGTGTAGCACCTGCATTTCAAGAGGACTGGAAACAGGTTGGCAAGATGTGGCCTTATAGCAGCCCCAAGGCTAGAATTTGAGTCTCTGGCTCTGGGGCAGTGGCTGCTGTACTTGCAGTGTGGCAAGTACAGGGTGCTGATTCTGGGTCTGTGTGGAGTCTGCATGTTCTCCACATGTTGCTTAGGATTCCCCCAGATACCCCAAATTTTTCCTGCTGTCCAAAAACACATGGTTTGGCAAACAGCAAGTAGTGTTTACATGTGATGTTCTGACATTCTGTCCAGGGTGTCCCCTGTCTTCCCGGGATAAATGCACGCACGCACGCACGCATGCACGCACACACACACACACACACACACACACACACACACACACAGGCACGGGTCACTAGAGATTTTGGGCCCAGAACCCAGACCAATCCAATTAAATTCCAAATTTTTGCCCCTTTACAGCGCCCCTAAATACATATACATATCTGGAGGCTCGATATGAACTGAAATCACATGATTAAGCATGAAGCAACAGAGAGTGATCCCACTACCCTCTCCCATCCAGGTCAGGGTGGGGTGAGGAAGGCAGAGAGTCACATGACTTGTGAAAAGTCGCACTGCACAGCATGAGACCTCTTTATCATTTCCGTCATGGAGCCAGTCAGCCGGCCGACTAGCGGCACCTCCCAGTTTTTGGCTTGGAGGCCTTCTGAATGTGCCCAGGATAGACTCGCCAGTCTCACAGGCGGGTATGAGCCAACACTCACCATTTGACAGTTTTGTTTCCTCACAGTCTTGCGAATTTTACCACATTTCATACCCACACTTGGTTTCACCTCAGCAAGAAGTGGACATTTTCTTTCCCAGCCCAGAAAAGAAGATAAAACTACATAAAGTGACATTTCAGTCTTTGACTTAACCGTTTTATATACAAATTCTTAATCTTAATAAATGAAACCAATGTAATTATGTACTGATGTCAGAGGGAACGTAATATTTAGTCACTCAGTGACTGCTCACTAACTCACAATAAACTGAGTTTTCTAATGTCACTAATGATTATTTTCTAACAATCTCTTAAATAATGACTTTTCTAATGCTTGTGACGATCTGGAATGAGATTTTAGGCTAAACAGATCAGAAATCAACAGAAAATGCATAAATGACCAATGCTCTGATATTGCAACCCCTGCTTTTTCATTTTTTCCCTTGTTTTGAGACAGCCTGGTTTAAAAAAATGAGTCATTGATCACCTGGCTGTTCTGCCAGATTCTGTTCAAACTGTTCTACCCAGATATGTGACGACCTGATAAAAACAAGGCTCCTCTCAAAGAAAAACGAGATAAAAATATATACAAATGTATGAGCCAGAACAACGAACAGATAATATACCAAAAATACTGACAATTGTGTGAGGGAAAAAAATGTATAAAGATAAACAAAGGTTATAAAAAGTTATAACCAATACATCTTAATACAAATGTATTGTAGAGATTTTAAAGGAACGTTTTATCATCTTCATTCTTCCTAGATAACGGTCACAAATAACTGATAATATATGAATAACTCCGGGATTTTATCCTGTCGCCAAATGCAAGTCTGATAAAAACTGCCCAAGAAGCATCTAGACGAGGAAGATTCAAGATTCAATATATTGTCAATACAACAATATACACAGTATACAGTGTATTGAAATGTTGTTCCATAACATTCTGTAAGCAAAGCCTTTGTGTGGTAAATTCTCATCAACAGAGTACCTGTTGTTTTACATTGCTTTTAAATAACCAGAGGTAAGTTACCTGATTCACAATCAGTCAGTTGTACATATTCTGTTTTGATAAGATGAAAGACATGGCTTTAGTGTTGGTCATAACTTTCTAACAACAGAAAGTATAACCACTTGCATGAGCTAATTAGATAAAAATTTACCCAAATCTGACAGGACATTTTCATCTCCTGATCTCATTAAGTACCTTGTAGCATGGAGGACCTGACCAATCACATGCTCAGAGGATCCACCTTCAAATTCAGGATGAATTATTAGTAATTATGATAATGAGTTCATGCTGTGGTATGTTGTAGGGGAGGAACTAGGTTTGGCCTGAAAATAAACATGAAGAATTTGTAGCTGTTTGTGACACTCAGACTGGGAAGTAAACCATGAGGAGCTGGAACACAGCAAGCTAACTTTTTAAGTGGAATGGAAAATACAAAATTAGAAACGCAATAGTGAACGCAATAAAAACACTAATGAAATAGGCCAATATCTGAATCTTCCTCAAGGAAGCTAACATGACCCTTTTACCTTCATTCTGGTCCACCTAATCCATCTGGATATAATTAACTGGACTGGTTCTCACAAAGAGGCGGCCATTCAGCTCGCTCTGTACTCATGGCCTGCTTGCCAGTAAGTACCACATGCAACATCTGCAACAACTGTGCCACAAAGGATTTCATTATGTATGACATAATTCAGAAGGTGCAGGGCGCCATCCAGTAACACTACAGAACCGTGTTGATTCAAGTGTAAAAGTAAATTGATACATGCCTTTAGTACAGTGTGCATTCACTTTTGTCCTGGAAATGGCTCCAGTGAGCTGCTACTCTCAGGTTTCGCCACAAAATGGAACAATACTGACCAAGCATTCATACTGTCTCCCTATCCCCATAAATAAAGAGCTTATACTGGTCAGGAAACCGTATCACGCACAAGCTGCTCACGTCCCTTACATATGTTACATGTCTGATATTCAGCAAAACAAGAAATGGAAGCGAAACGAAGCAAATGCTTGCTATTTCATGTTTGGAGAAAACAACCTGTAACTGATTTTCTAATGTACCAGGCTCATTTTCAAAATTATTCTGTAAGTTATACCGACCACGTAAACCATGCTGAAGGACAACACAAAGCAATATTGCAATCGCCCTAACTTGACAGAAAATGCTTAAGTTATGTTCAGCGGCCTAGGTAGTTTTTTTAAAAAAAATATATTTAAAATTTAAAAGTCAAACTAACGTACATTACTAAATGTTTAAATATGGGAACTGGGGAATAAAGATAATTTAATTTATTTTGCGATTTAAAAATATTTTGCGCTCTTTTATATGTTCATATGCATAATTCATGAGCCAAAAGATTAACCCGAATTAAGTATTTAAAATGTACCATTATCAAATATCTATAGGTTAACTGAGGACCTCGCAGCTCAGCACGCTTAATGGGGCGCAGTAGGGGTGACATGCGGGATGTTTTAAAGTCCGTCCCTGAAGATTGCGACCGAATCGGGACTTAAAACGAGTCTGTCGCGTCGGGTAATAACCACCTTCTCTTTTCATAACTTACTCAACGGATCTCCCGGCAAACAAGCAGAGAGCAGCTGTGATTAAAATGAAAGATTTCCGTAAGTAACGTTAGGTCATGTTTACTCGTCTATATTACACGGACCAGGTGAAATGTTACCTTTATTCATTATATGGTGCGTTTGATTGCAATTGGGAGGCTCGCTTTCCGAAGCACAGCAGGTTGTGCTCACCGGCAGTTTTACGTCACATGCTTAGGAGGAGCCGATCTCTTTGACATCTGACTAAAGGAAAGAGGAACTAGTGTAGGGCTGGCTGTCCGCACTTCGTTTTTCTTCTTAACGCTGGGTGGAAATTTCCTTCCTACAAAAAAATAAAATAAAAAGCGTTTGGGTAACAATAGGGCGACATGGGATCGGGCGCCTAGTGCGTTTTTTACTGGGAAAGCGCATTATCCTTTTTTATTTTACTTTTTTTGATGAATAACAAGAGTAGTCTTTCGTCAGTAAAGTATGATATGAAGTAACCCCGCGTTGGTGTTACGGCGTGGTTAGACGGCTCAAGGTAAGCGGGCGGAATCTACAAGTTTTCACATTTTCTCTCGGGTGTCGCAATGACGGGATGTGAGACTGAATCGACCGCGTCCGATTGCGAGTAGAAGGTAACGTGGGGCTTTATTACTGCTCACATTTTGGGAGGTTTGCTTAAAGCCGGCGCATAGTTTGAAGTCTTGTCGTTTTCCCTTCAGTTCTTAGGATTATACAGACATATCGCATGTTGCGCTTTAGAAATGATGCCGAATGACTATCATAACCTACGTTAAATAGGAAGAGTTGTTGACTCCGTTGTGAAAGTCGTGCTAACCTACGAATCAACCCCCAAATAGTTGTATTCGCTCTTATCAATGCTCAGCGAAAACAAATGTAAGGCGGAGGCAGAACTGATATACATCGGTAACATGTTTTGTCTTATTTATATCTATTGTGGGACCCTAAAGCAACTTCGCTTAAGCTCGTGCTGCTTCATTTCATTACGGATATGGCGTTTTAAACGCATTAGGAGAAAAGTTTTAAGCAAAGTACCGTGTTAGTAATGGATTTTGAAATCTATAGGCCTATATTGGGATTGGGAAGATTATGATGACTTGAAAGTAGGCCTATATCATATGTGTTCCATCAAGCTGCTTTGTCAGTGACAAATTAAAGTATATCTTAAGTAATCTAACTAGTTCGTCCGGATGAACAAAGGTCACTGTGGTTTAAAACGGCTATTTTTAAATTATTCAACAATATTTTGTATTGCCAGATGACACAACAGGTGGCTCTACTTGTTGTAGCTTTAAACACGTTAAATGTTAGGTAATTGAAACTTAATGGAACCTCCCAGAATGGAGGTTTTTGCCAAGGGGGTTGCAGTGCATTCTTCATTTGACTGCCTCAAAATATTTTCTCTTCGCTAGTAACTTATTTTTTTTCGGTTAAACGTGCACCCTGGTGCCTTGAGTGTAAACAGGCGAGTTATGAGAAAGCACAAGGCCAGAAGTGAGCATGCATTCGAAAGTGTAGATCAGATCCACCTTGAACCGGTTATTTATTCTCAGGGAAGGGTGCAAATGTTTTACCGAGGCCAGGTTTACTTACTGATACGTTTTTTTTCCTTTTGGCTTTTTTGGTCTATTTCAGTGGAAGGGTACTTTTTAGTTTTCACTCATCAGTTTTGCTGAAATATCTATTTAAAAATCTACCGATCGGTGCCCCTTATTCTAACATGCGGTTTTCAACAGTGTAGAGCGACACCGCGAAGTTTTGTTTCTATTAACCTTTAAGATCAAGCTTTGGCCCGCGTGATCGCAGCCGTATCCGCGCACCGCATGCAGGGTCGCCGCTCACGTGGTCCCGACCCTCCGGCGTCTCGCGCTCTGCGCTCCCCCACACGCCGACTCCAACACAGCTTTCTCCGGATGCGACAACTTTTGCTCTATAGGCAACAACTTTAATTCTAGCAGATACTACAATCGGTGCTTAATTTGTGCCGTTAATTTGGATTAACTGCAAATTAAAGTACAGAAATATATCAAATCTGTTGTGTTGTATGTTTTTCTTTACGTACATCCGCCTAAATTATATGTTTCATTTATCTGACCTGATTTGAATGGAAAAACCGCACTATTCGCACGCAGAAAAAAAACGCTTTTTGGTGACTAAAATAGATGTTACCTTCTGGCCCATTAAACTCTGCCTTATTATTTAATGTATGTAACAGGTGTTGATGGAAAATGTCCACCTCTGATAGTGATCTAATATTTTAGATCCAGAAAGTAAAAATCCAGACCGAATCCTTGTATAATAATGACACTTCACTGATCGGTGTGGGGAAATTCTCTTCACCTAACCCATCTTGTTCTCCATGACACACACGTAGGGGAGATCAAGCTTGGTAACAAAGAAACTGGGGGTTAAAGGCCTTCAGACGTGTGATTATCCTGCTAAAGCTGGGCTTGAACCAATGACCTTCTGATTACAGGCACAGAGCCCAATGAGCTACACACTGCCCCTGGGGGCTGCAGCAGATCTGGGGGCCTCCAAGTTTACAACTTAAACACTGACACTTGAGCCCCTTTGACACCTGAAGACAAATTCCCTGTGTGTGGACATACTTGTGATTTTGAAATGGCATTTGTGCATTTTTACATTAACATTAACATTTGCATATCTTTCATCCCATGTTTGAACAGTGTGTTGATACTTTTGATACGTCTTCAATATTGTCATATATAATTTCACTAACTGACCATCTTACCAGCTCGTTTCAGGATCCCTGATGTGAATGGGGAGATTAACGAATCTCGCCTGACTTGTTAACAATGGTTAACTTCCCCTGTGTAGATGAAAGACACAAATCGAAATACTCCATTTGTGTTTTAATATATTGCTGATGGAAAGTAGCAACGTGACTGGAAGGAAATGAGAATTTCTCTGTTATTAAAGCACTCATACATTTGATGCCCCCTATCAATGATTTGTGTTTGTAGAAAACAGTAGATATATAGCATGAGGGCTTTGTTTGTCTGTGACTCCTTGCTTCCATACTTGGCTTGCTATTGGTATGCTCTAAGAAAAGATTCGATGTCTAATGCATGGAAGAATTATTAATAGAAGTACATTTAATAGTTAATGGCCCCCAGAGGGAAATCCACTTGGACTAACAAACCAATTAAAGAACTCTGCTTGCTGTTAAAAAACACTCTGTGTTCTTCAGTATTACTTTTTTTTAAACATATCAGCGCAGTGGAGTCTTTTGAAACGACTCAGAAGTATGTCCTTGCGTATTCATGGATTGTTGAAGTCCTTTCTGGGGGGAACTTTCAGCTCGTTCTGTTTTTCAGCGTTCAGAATTCTGTCACCTGCAGGGCAGTAAAGTTCTGAGTGGGCATTGAACATGTGAAGGAGTGGATATTGTGGTGGGATAGAACCTGGTGGGATGAGGGATAATGGATCTGTCTCCATCCGACGTGTGTCAAAGGGGTCCGTCTTCAGGCTGTCATGTCTTCTCAGTTTTTTAACAGGAAGTGACCCTGGATGTTTACATTTTTTCATAGTAATGCAGCTTTTTCCATACAGCTATGCATTGTTAAAGCTTCATTCAGTGTGAGCATGTGCCGTTATCACACGGTGCTGCTTTGTGTCTGATACCACATGCTGACCGCCACCAACTTATTTGACCCACATTATTGGTTCTGCATGGCTATATGGATAAACATCTTGGGTAATTGGATCTCTTATTTTTTTTTAATTATTTTTATCAGTGTAGCAATATTACACTCCACGTAAATTCCACGTATCGCAGTGTGATATCGTGTAGCCCTAGTGCATGTGAATATACTGTTCAGGTTCATAGATTTCTGGTATACTTGCCTATTTTGGTGTGAATAAATGCTGAAAATATGAAGGACAACAAAACCATAATGTTTTTAGAAGTTCCTTAACGTTCTCCACTCTTGGAGCATTTCAACTGGCTTTTCTACAGTTTCAGTAATGACCCGCAGAGAATGTCGCTCATAGATTAGAGTAGTGCTTAGTCCTGCCTGTACTGCTGACTTTGACCCTAAGGAGAAAGGCAGTGTGTCTCTGAATGGGAGGGACTCACTTCTTTTAATAAGTTTTCTATCCAGCCAGTAGTTTAGTAGTTTGTCGTTTCTTCTCTTAACCAGCTGTGTGTAATATCACACATCTATATGTGCAATTCTCCTTTTCACGAATGTGAATTAATGTCTTTGTTGTATTTGACAGTATTAGAAATTATGTAAAAATATTTTGCCTTGGGGCCCTTTATCCTGTCATTTTTACTCTTAAACGTTACCCGCCTGGCCAAGAGATGTGAAAAGCCAGTGAACTGTTTTGGCGGGTAGGTCACCATCAGCCATGGCTAGCTGCTAGGTAGTTGCACATTAACTTCTGGAATTCTAAAAGAAACCCCAAAAAATGTTTTTTCGAAAGCACGTTTGTGCGTTGAAGTTTTGCCCTTGGGCTGAGATGCGGTGCTACAGTGTCATCAGTTAGTCTTTACTTGGATCCCTACTCGATACTACTTTTAAAAGAAGAAAAAGCTCCTTGCGGTGTTAGTGTCGTCTTTGATTGGTCGTCGTCCTTGTTGGTTCCGGAACCTTGCGTTTGCGCCTTAACAAAAGGATTAACACTCACAGGTGTGCTGTGCCGTGACGACATGATACTTTGCGGTGTGGTCAGAAAGGAGGAAGTCGTCCTCACATTGTTCTCTTTGTGTTAACTGTTGAGTCTTGGTGACTAGTGTAGATGATGATTCCCACAGTCCTGTAGTATTGGTTGCCACAGACTTCTGACCTGGTTTTTATTCACCGTTGCGGCAGGCCTGGCTGATGGTGGGGGGGTGCTTTTCCCGTATCTCACCCTGCCTCTCCTGGGCCATATCTTCTCGTTTTGGTGTGACCTGGCTTACAGTCAGCTGCCACTCCAGTTGCCGCCCCACATCTTCTGACCCCGTCATATGAATGCTGGGGAGGAGGTTGGAAATTCAGCTTGTGTGAGTGTGGGGCTCGTTAAAGGACTGGAATGCAGTCTGCTGAGTGCCCTCTCAGGGAGGTGCCAAATATGCATTTTTTTGTGACTAGTACTAGTGACTGGAAATGAGTCTCTTTTAAGGAAAAGTTGACAAATGGGCTTTGGTGTGGGGATCAGTGGGGCGTGGTGCTGAAGACTCTGTCCCCTTTAATTCCTCTGGCTGCAGGCTGTGCTACCCTGGATCAGAAACTCACTCATACTGAAGATAAATGATGGGGCTGGGGGCAAGTACAAATTCTGGAAATTTAAGCAGTTCAAAACCTGTGAATGCCAGAAGTGATCCTGCTTCGTTGGGCCCTTGACGAAGGTCCTTAACCTGCAATCGCTTCATCCTGGGTATGATGTTAATCTGCATCCAGCCCTATAAGGAGGTTCTCCAACTTACAGGGAAATTTGAGGGTTGGTGGCAGGATTGCTACTGTAGCCGCTGGGGGGGAAAAAAATTCACACTGGTTCATTTGGACTAGTGTGGTGCTGAGGTATCACCCACTGCATGGCTGCGCTCAGGTTCTCACCCCTGAGGTGGTTTGTTGTGTGCTGGGTGTGCCAAGGTGCTGTGATCAGTGCGCGCCCATTACCTCTCTCTCCTTTTGATACTTAATCGTTTGTCTAGCAGATGAGGATACCGCTAATTGTTCTTTGCCCGTAGTGAGAGTTAGCAGTGGTCAAAGTTTTTCATCCCAGTGCAGCTACAAACTCACAAACAAACACAGAATCAGACAAATTCCCAGCTTCCCCGAATTATATTTTCTTGGTCTTAACAGACGATTCTTTGTTTATTCCGTAAGTGAAAATGAATGACGCTTAAATGTCGAGCACGTTCTTCCTCAGAAGGGCAGGTCTAGACAAGGAGTTTTGGCTAATTTCCCACCTCCTTTATGACCCCCCCCCCCCCCCCCTCCTTAGTATAAAACACTCTACTCCATGTTGGTATTTTCCATGCTTTCTGAATCTCCTGTGCTGGTTTTCAGAATGCATACCTAATGACCCTGGGAGTGGTGAGATTCATAACTGCTGTGTGAGCAACCTGAACGTCTCCCTGTGACTGAAGTGCATTTCTAGCAATTTCTAGGCTTGTTTCTGTTACATGAACCACAGGAAAAGGAAACAAAAGCTGTTCGCTTTTAGCTTGTTTTAGTACAGTTGTAAGCTTACAAGCAATGATGCTGATTTTCACCCAAATGTCAGCACCACTGGACTTCGTCATCATAACTTGATCAATCTACAAATGTAATGCGGTAAATAAATTCTTCGTGTAGTTTGATTTTTATTAATCAAGCAGTGCTGCCTTAGGGGCCGTGTTGATTTAAGATAATCCAGTCTGACGTATTCTTGCCCTAAAGCCGAGAGCCTTATGTGTCTGTTTGTTCACTATGTATTCTGGGCTATAATGACACTGAGATTGGCTGTAGTATCCAGAGTAACTGGTACTTTGACACCCCCCATGTGCAACCTCTGCTCTCTTTCCTACACGGCATAGCAGGCCCTGTTGTACTCTTATCAGGATTCAGGTTTTTCCACTGGGATCTGCTCCGTATAGAGAAGAGTCACGCTTTTTCCAGCTCTTCATGCGGAAATGGAGCCTAACCTGAGAGACCGTCTCTTTAAGTTTTTCTTAGGACCCCTGTGTATTAGTGTGATTCTGCCAGTGTGCTTCTTCCTCCTCTAGCAGTCAGTGTTGAATAGAGCATCGTATCTCTCTCTCTGGAGATCGTATCTCTCATCGTATCTCTTTTTTTTTTTTTTTTTTATAGATAAATATTTTTTCGAGCAGAGTCCACAGCCTGCGACTCGGTTAAGATCTGTGAGGTTTAAAGTTTCTGTTTCTCTTTCCAGGAGCCCTGGCTGGCCTCAGAGAGGTCTGCTCTACCCTTCTGCAGGTGATGACAATGGGGTAAGATTCTGGTGTCTGTTTCTGAGGGACTCTGTGTTAGAGCGGAACAGTCCACTGGGTTTCCCTGACAACCGACTGATACCAGTGCCTTAACTGGTGTTTTCTTGGCAGCTGGACTTTTTCTATTTTTAGTAAATGGCTCTCGGGGGGGGCGGGAGGGAGGCTGTTTTTTCCGATGGCTTTGATCCCATTTTAACATGTTACAGACCTTCCCTGTACCTGGAATTTCCTTTTAAGCACTTGGAGTTCTGAATGTCTTAACTCCACTAATGTACTTTTTGCAGAGCTTAATCGTACCCTGGAAGGCTTAAACGCCCTGAGAAATGATTGACTCTTCAACGCAGATTTTCCATTTAAACCTTAACATGGCTTCTGTTTCAGTTAAAAGAGCAGTCTTGGTATACATTAATGTACTTTCTTTCTTTGAAAGCACTGCTCTCAGAAAGGTGTTCACCTCATTCCAGAAGACATGAGATTAAAGACAAAAGCAGCAGAAGTTTGCTTTGAGGCAATAAAACGAGTTGAAATTTCTTGTCATGACAGTTCTCTACATTCTTATTGGTTGATCTCTGTGCTTTTCTGTGCCCAGCAGGTGATAAGTGGCACTATGAACCCAACAAGGAAGAAACTCAAGTTGGTCGGGGTGATGATGACTGTGAACGTCTTCATCTTCATCATGGCAGAGGTCCTGCGGAGCAGTGGCCAGGGCAAGGGGAACGGGCACAAGTTAGTCATGCCCACGAAGCCTTTCTGGAAGAAGCTGGTGGCCAAAGAGGGCTTCTGGAATCGGGAGCAGCAGAAGCTGGACTACTTGCACAACCCCATCCTAATGAAGAGCAACGGCTCCAAGGCCGAGCTGCTGCAGTGGCTTAACGACACGGATTTCTCGGAATCGTGCGACCCGGACTTTGGCGTCGCCACGAAGGTGAGCGATTATAATTCCCTGCCAGAGCGTTTCAAGGACTTTCTGCTGTATATGAAATGCAGGTCATACCCCATGGTGCTGGACCAGCCTGACATGTGCAAGGGTGGGCCTTTCCTGTTGCTAGCCGTTAAATCTCTGGCGCCGCACTTCGACCGACGCCAGGCCATCCGGGAATCATGGGGGCGAGCTGGCCGGATTGCCAACCGCACAGTCGCCACTGTGTTCCTCCTCGGCAGTGCCACGGAGGTGGACCATTTCCCTGACCTGTCGAAGATGCTGCAGTACGAGAGCTCCATCCACCACGACATCCTCATGTGGGACTACAGGGACACCTTCTTCAACCTCACCGTCAAGGAGGTTCTCTTCCTGGACTGGTTCCGCCACCGCTGCCCCACGGCCAGTTTCGTCTTCAAGGGGGATGACGACGTCTTTGTCAACACACAGCGCATCATGGAGTTCCTCAAGGACCTGTCCCCAGACAAGGCGAAAGACCTCTTTGTTGGGGATGTGATCACCAACGCTGGCCCACACCGGGATAAGAAGCTGAAGTACTTCATCCCGGAGAGCATTTTTGTGGGCATGTACCCCCCATATGCTGGGGGAGGGGGGTTCCTGTACTCAGGAGACCTGGCATTACGTTTGCACAATGTGTCTCAGCAAGTGTTCCTCTACCCCATCGATGACGTCTACACTGGCATGTGTCTCAGGAAGCTGGGACTGAGTCCTGAAAAGCACAAGGGCTTCCGGACCTTTGATATCGAGGAGAAGTACAGAGACAACGCCTGTGCTTACAAGAGCTTGATACTGGTGCACAGCAGGACTCCACAGGAGATGATTAAAATATGGACGTGGCTCAGCGACCCCAATTTGAACTGTCAGTGATCATAGGTGGGAATCTGAAATCCTCTGACCTGAGATCAGATCTTTTATCACACAAAGAATGGTGAGCTTCACTTGTTCCAAAGACCAATGGGTAGTTGATGTGGGTATATATTTTCTTTTTAAGAAACATAGCAATTTTGAGGTTTATGACCGAGAGGTTAATTCTTTGTCAGGTCGTTTTGTGGAAATCTCACTCTCTGTAAACGGCGTAGATGCCCCTCATTTCCTACAACGGCTTCAAATTATACTAAAACCTGGTAGTGAAAGTGACAAATTCTGTTTTCACATTTATTGTAAACATTCTTCACAGTACAGCAAGAAGTTTGACGTCTTGGATGATAATGTCTTGGCAGCTAAACTATCAATGTTATGATTGCAGTAGCAAAAGATATTTTAACTACCTTTTTTTTTCATCCAAAATGTGACCTAGTTCTACTGTTTCTTTAGAATATCAGTTTTTGTTTTTTTTAGTATTATACACTGTTTCCTTCAAGAAATGATCATGATGAATATTTTTAACTACTTGATGTACTTGATAATGGTTTTCAGTCCGTTAGCTCGTGCAGTGCCTACCCCCCCCCCCCCCCCC